CGTTTGGTGGTCTAGCGCCAGTGTCATTCATTGCAGCTTCTTACCAACCGGGATGAGTATTATTGCAGATGTGTACTGTGAAGAACTGAACACAATGATGGATAAACTCGCACATCTCCAACCAGCTTTGTCAATCGTTCGGCTCCGTTGCTCCTTCACGACAACGCACTACCTCATGCTACACAGCAGAGGGTCGCCAACCTATAAGAACTGGAGTTGAAAGTTCTCCGTCATCTACCATTCTCACCAGACCTTGCTTCTACTTTTTCCACCATCTGGATAACTTCAATATTGGATATAAACGACAGGGAGTTCAAAATGCCTTTAAAGAATATGTAGCCTCCCATCCAGCAGACTCTTTCAAAAAGGACATCAATAAGCTACCACTACGTTGGCAAAATGCATTGATTGCAAGGGTAATTACTTTTTTTCATTAATAAAAATGAAAAATAAGAAAATGGTGCAAACTTATTTCATGAAACACGGCAATTTCATAGGTAAAGACTTGATATAAGGAATCAATTTTGTTTTAATATTTTTACAATACTTTATTACTATAGTATCTTTCCTAACAGGCCTTCTTAGTCCACGCAACTTGTTCCGCAACTGTGTTCACGCCTACCTTGAGATATTTTGTATTCTTTTTTTACTTTTCTATTTTAAAACATATTTATCAACCACGAGTGTCACGTTTAACCTTATCTTACTCCACATGTGGCAGATGAACTAGTTATCACATGCTCTGTGACAAGGATCGTAAGGAACGTGACTAAATATAGAATTAGATTATTGCAATTTCGACAATAGAAACGCATGCATTTCGATTGTTCCATTCTGATAGTGTCGCCAACTTTGGCTATCAGTGGCGTTGTATAAATTCGTTGTTGAATTTAGCGCAATATTTGAAACATCTAACCTTTACAGTTTTCTTGCGTTAAAAGAGATCCATTATACATTGGCAATGTTTCAACAGCTTCCATCTGATTTTATAAAATAAACTTTTCAGTTGATCGACGTCTAAATTTTCATATTGTGTAAAAGCAAGACACCGATGGCCTTTTTCCTGATGTTTGAATGCTTAGTAGATCGGGACCTAATAAACCTCCTTGGGTAGAATTGTATAGAAAACATTGGTTATCTCAAGCTCCTCCATGTTTCGAATGGCATGACAAGCAGTAGTTCGGTGCTGCATTTACAGTCGTTAGCACCCATTAATCCGCACTAAGATGTACCGCAATGAAATAGCGTCAAAGAAAGAGCTTTACATCTCCTCTTTGACTTGCTTTTGACACGCGAAGTACCATTGAACAAGTTTATTAGTTTGAAATTTCAGTAGTTTGAATTTTGAAATTATTTTCTATATCGTAAATGTATAACAGAAACTGTTTCGATTTCTTGATGCTATTATTCTAAAATAATAGGCAAATTTTAAGCCTATGGGCAAAACTACAAAATAATGTATCGTCGTCATCATGTCACAGGGAGGCGGCAAAATTTGTGACATCAATTATGATTGATTTGATAACAACAAGTTTGTTTCTAGGGAAACGATACGTACATTGCGAAAGTCTACCATATTGTTTTTAAATAATTGTAACCAAATAGGCTTATGGTGGGTCAGGAATCAAATCAACTGATATTATGTACACTTGTGTTATCTATTTCGATCTATGTCTGCGATTTAAATATATTTCATACGTTAAATATGCTTTTATCAACGTTGTTGTAACAAAAAATACAAAATAGTTTATTATGACGACGCGACGGCAGCAACAGGCAGTTGTTGTCATTGTCAAATTATAGGATTCCTTGTTGCACCTCACAATGTTGCGTCACACTATGACCTGTCGCAAGTGCCCGCAAACATTCGTCACACGTTGACAATTCAACGACACCACGTAGATTGCGTTACCGTTTCTCTGTACGCTATACTATACCTTCTTCGCTCTTTATGGTCGGTGATGAAACCACTGAATATTTTACTACTCCGTAAGATATTGAACCAGTTTTGAAAGCCATTCATAGCGATTATGTACACACGCTTGAGCTATTCTTACATTCGATTGCTGCAAATCAGTATCGATTCGCTTTTTTGTTATTCACAAGCGATTGCAAAAAACTCGAATTAAATGTTTCAGTAAAAAAATGTTATAAGTGCTAGTTAATCATTTCGATATTATTTGATGATGTTGCACAAAAGTCAGTCAGTAAATCTAGATTTCAAGCATTAACGCGAGACTTCAAATCAAAATATAATTTCTAAATATCATAAAGTTTTCCCTGAACTTTTAGCGGTTTCTCGTAAATTGTTAAAGTTTATTAGCATAGCGCCGACTCCAAATATAGTTCAGTTAATATGAACACTGTTTGGGTATAAGATGTTGTCGGAAAACAATATTTTCAAGCTGTCATCCCATCATCTACAAAAGTTTCCGAAGTTACCCCGTCCGTAGATAAGCTTTTATCCAGACTGAGAAGCTAACATCCACCGCATTCTGTATTTCTTTTCTCTCATTCTAACATGCGAGATTTTCTACAATTGTTTCTTTTGTTTTATACCTATTTTATTAGTACAAATAAAACCTTGAAATAGTAGTTTTTTGTTGGCGGAATTGACGTGTTAATACGTCATGTAGTTGTGAATAAAGTCGGATCATTTGTATTGTCAGTGAACGGATACCTTAATTAATATTGACACCGTAACATTTTTATATTTTGTCCATAACTGGTTGGCTTCAAACAACAAGTTAATCGCCATCATTTTAAACATACAACTTATGCTAATATTATATATATAAAACTAACTCTATTTGCCCCTTATGTTTTCTTAATAATGTAAAGTCTAGCCGCTGAATCAATTATGATGATTCACAAAAAAGTACATTTGTATAACTCATGACGTGTAAAAGAATGTACTTTTTGTATGAAGAATCAAATATTTTACACCAGCTGCGGCGTAGTTACGGATAAAAAAATTGGTCATGTTATATTTTATATTTTTGTATAAATTTTATTTTGACACTCAGTTTATATAAATACGTTCATAATGCTAGAAAATAAAAAACTTGCAATTTAAGTTTCACATTTCTCTCGTCACAAAATAAGATTGCATAGCTGTTATTTCACATAAACTTCGCACTGTAATCATAGTTGGCAACTTTCTGTAGATTATAGTGAAAATTGTGTCATTTACTACAAACAAAAGCAAAGCAACATTTTTAAACATTAGTATTGTGACAATTTATAATTTGGATAAATATATCCATGTAGAACTTTTAAAATTGTAATGAAAATACCAAGTTTTTTTTTTATTTATAATACGCGATATCGAGCTCATTGACTAATAATCGAGTATGGAGGTAATCATTTTTGAAACTTATAAAAATTTGCATATGTGTGATATATTATGACTTATCTAATTTGGTATAAATTTGTTTACTAGTTAAATAATACAAATGATTAATTTACTTTGAACAATTATTTTATTCAGATCAATTTGTTTATTGTTATTAATACACCAATTTAAAAGTTATTGTATTTTATGTACTTTAGAAAATTGATTAATGTTTTGATTGCGCACTTCGTGTTTTTTTTTATCACTTTGTTAAATTCTATTTACTAAATGTTTAACGTTATTTTCAAAATTCAATGACACTCGTGAGAAATGTAAAATTTGCAAGAAGAAACATCTTTTTCAATCTATTTCCATCTGATTAATAGGCATGCTTAATTTTAAAGGCAATAATTACCAAACATATAAGAATATAAGTGTTACAGGCATCCAGTACCCTTAGCACGAACCATTATTGAATTCGAATAGTTTGCGAGTGCGAAATGTCATTGTCAAATGCGTACAAAATTTTAGTTCTCGGTACGTCCTTTTGGCGCTGCTGTTCAACTTTCCATACAAATTTGACAATGAGATTTCGGACTCGCAAACTATTCGAATTCGATATTGGTTCGTGCTAAGGGTACCGTTATGCAGATAGGTGACAGGAATTTCATTCCAAGAAAATGCCATCTTCATATTGTCGACCTGCAGTGCTTTTCTGTAAGAACAAACTCATTTTTCGCTTCGAAATCCTTGTTTTCATTTAAAATTAGAACACGAATTTCAAATAAATATCAAATAACACTGGCTAGTTCCGCGGTGAAAAGTGAGTTTTATTCTTACAGAATAGCACTACTGAACTCATTCCTGTGAAATACTGCTACTTTACTTACGAACAAAAATAAAGAATTTGTACCAATGTGTAGATCTTTTGTAACCATAAGAATGTGGTCCAGTTCAAGTAAGAAATCTTCTATGCCTTTCTGCAAAGCCTTTTTTTGTGAACCTATTGGTTGCAACAAATTTTTAGCGAATTATCTTGTAGTGTCTCATACATTTATTTACTTCAGCATAGCTACGTAGAAAGTTCAAGTTCAGATTTAAAAAAAAATTGTCACTCGATTCCCCGATAACAAAAAAATGTTGTGTGCTGGTTAACAATAGAGGCAACTACATTTTGTAATTTACGTTCTTTCTTTCGAAAATTATATATTCTTATTTTTTTTAGTATATTTTATATTCCACGGTGCAAAGAAGTCATAACATTAAAATTAAATCTACCAAATGCATAGGACCTCACGGCTTTGTAAAGATAATATCCTTCATTTTATCCGACCACAAAATGTTATACTCTTTTCCATCTCTTTATATCACATAGAATTTTTTCAACACACATTATTTTGTCACACCAGCACATTCCGCACAAATAGGAATAATTTCACAACATAACACCTACGATAATCGGAGATTACAAATAATACGCTCTGATTCTAGGTATTTCGTTGTCCAATTACAATTTATACATTTCACACGCAATCACTTCATATTGGCTGTGTTCGAAATGCCCAATCTCCACAGTTACCTTTTTATCCTTAACCTTAAAAATGGGTGCGCATATGACGCATTGTGTTCGGCGTTAGATCTCAAATGATATATTTCCGATTTACGCGTTGTAACGAACGCCCGCTGTTCAAGTTTTACTTTTAGGAGAGCGTGCGCTCGCGCAGCAGGCACGCACTAACTCTTCCGCGGACCGCTCAGTGCTACAACGGCACTGGTCGAGAACGAACTTGGGACCTCGAACCAGACACGACGAGCGACTGTGAACTGTGAACTTGCCAGTGCTTTGTGTGTTTGTGACTTTTATTTGAATATTTCTCTCGGTGAGTATTCATTTGTTTCCTGCTAAAGTTCAAGTAAACAATCGTTTCTACCGAGTGAAATTTCTTCGTGACGATGTCTACTCTCACCGGCAAACGAAGAAAGTAGATGGATCGGTACCGGTTGATAAATGATTTTTGCGGCAAGATGTAATTTATGCTTCGTATCAATTTATTACTGTTGATAGATCGCTTAGGATAACACTTATGAATTAATCACACGGAGAAATGTTTATGCGCTACGAACCGAATCGTGTTTAATGATTATGATATATAATGTCAAGTGTGTGACATGTATAGATTTAAATAACCGACTTCGAAAAAATTGCTGGTGCAAATGATTCAAAGAAATCGATTTAACAATATCTTTGTTATTATAATTAATAACAATCGGCTGTAGCGGGACATTAATTAATTAATCAATCTGTTATCTATGTTTATTTAATTTAGAAATGTTGTTATTATCTGCTTTAAATACTGTATTTCAGTCAAATGGGTCACCATGAGACTCACAACTCATAATATATTTTCACCTGAAATAAACTTTTCATTTAGATCAAATTATTTTTGGTTACTAACTTTAATAAATTAAAAAGCACTGATTAAATATTTTATTAATATCTTATGAAAAATAATAACAATATAAATTACATTAGCATATTGCTTAGTAACATAGTAATTTATTAATTAGGGAATAAAAATCCTAGTCCTATCGAATTCAGTCATAAACTCCATTTGCCAAATTATATATTTATCCAAAGTTCATTAAAATATAAAATCAAAATACGATAGATCTACAAATCAAAGCTTAAAAAATATTTTTGTATAAATAATTAGAAAATTAAAAAACAACATAATTATGAGCCTAAGTCTGCAAATTATATAATCCTATTAAACCAAGTCCTTAGAATCCTTGCAATCCCTTCAAAATCATAAAAAAATAACTACGAAATTTGAATCGTTTTGTTCTGTTCAACGTAATCTAAGCTTACTAAAGTCTGCATTATACGAGTATATATTAGAACCGAAGTTTTGCTGAGAAATTTTCAAGAAAATTAGAGCGATCTTCGTTGCTCTTCGCAGCAAATTAGCATTCTCGTAACAAAGTCTGTAGGTAACGATTTTTTTTCACAAGAACCAATGGCGTAATGCCGATACGGTCTGACTGATGTATAACGTCGTTGAGCCATAGCGGACGAAAAATCAAACTAAGCACTCGAATTAACCCTTTTGTAATTCAAATTGATCGTCCGCCCTCAAGTGTTTTGTTGTTAATTATAAAACTAGTTCGTTTCCCCCATTACATTTGCTAATTAATCAAAGGTTGTTGAGCAACTTTAAAAAGTGGAAGTATTTAGTTGCTTTGTATATAGGTAAAGGTATATGTTATTGAAATCATGCGGTTCTTTTTGTTTTAAGGAAAAAAATATGCCCATAATGTATGCATCATAAACAGGAATTTTCATAAGCTCACTACGAAGAAGATTTATCACGGAAAAGTATAAATACATAATTATTTAATAACTTTAAATTTAATATTTTGTGCTTGATGTTAAGGGTAAAATACTACTTTATGTTATCATAGCATGCTCAAAAATATCGTAATATTATTTTAAGATAAGTTTATTCCCTACATGTGACAGAATTTCGTTGCTCTGAAATTCATTTGGCATAACACATTAAGAAGTCTTCTTAATTTTTTTATCGAATATTTTTTGTAAATTGGTATAATTATTTTTTGGCCGAAATGAATATATATTTATGAATTCAAAATGGCATGCTATTAATATGGCAGCATTGTATTATGCATGCAATTACCTTTGGCAAAATTGTATTCTGCATTATTCCGTTTAGCAGAAACGCTGGTCAGTGGGTAAGGTAAAGTTAGTGTGGTGACCTAAACATAGCCAGCTACCAAAGATAATACATAAATAATCAAGGAAAAGTTAAATATGTATATGCCACAAGACGATTCTGTCTGTTAACTTTCTGAGATACGATGGTTCTGCTTTTTAATTATTATGCATAATTGCTTTTTCCTAATTCTGGCTAACAAAATTATGAGTTTGAATGTGAGTGAATGCCAAATGATTTTGTGTGCAATGAATATGATGCCTTCCGCTGATATGCTTAAAAATATTATGACATTAAAAGTTTAACGATATTGTATCGTAGTCCCGTTTAAGTTATCAGAGAATCAGCGTATATCAAAAGTTTAACTTAAATATGTCACCTGAGAGGAGACACGCTCAACTCATCGAGCGTGGTTAACCTGTCAGAGACATTAAGGGCAAATATTAAACTAAGTCTCAGGATTAAACTTTTACATTAACCTTTTATGAAAATAAAATATATCATTTTTGAGCAAATGAGATCGTAAATTTGAAATTACCATTTTCTTTTAAGCTCTACTCGAGCTTCGTTATTTAAAATCTTAAATGGTAATTTCAAATTCTTGCTTTATTTTTCTTTTAAGATGAAATTTTAGTTTACGAGTAAAAGTTTTCTTTTTATTTCAATTTATCTCAAAAACATTTAAGTACCCATTACTAAATAATCACTGAAACTTAAATACCGTAAGATAAAATTTTACTTAACATCTTATGAACTGATAAGATGTTTTTTAAATTTCAAAGCAGATTCAGCAATTTTTTTACAAATACGTTATGAAATATAAAAGCTCTGGAAGAAGAACAAGTCAGTGACAAATTTGACATCGTTAAGTGATTACAATATTTTTATTTTTAAGCTCTTAACTGCTAGATGTTTAAATCTGAAGCAGATATTATTAGATTTTTTTTCACTCAGTCCGTATTTCAGGTGGGATCGAAACGAAAGAACGTCTAAATTTGGTTGTCGTTTGATATTTTTCTTTTGTTATTTAAGATCTATTTGATGTACGCCATGAAATTAATATTCGTTGTTAACCTTTCTAAGAATCTTTCACGAAGTATAAGTTATTCCTAGCTTTTAATCATTTTGTTTCCTCCTGTCGAATTATTTGGTACTTGTAAATATTATTTAATGTAAATTGGACATATTACACACTTGAAAATAAGCAGCTGCTATAGCCTCAAGCAGTTGTGATTCCTTGAAGTACCTCGCTTGTTGCTTACTGTAACCTTGTTCCCAACACCAAGGAGCTCTAGAACATTACTCATCCCATAAACAAAACATTACTCAAAGTTTTATTATGTTGTTCTGTTATTATTCTGTTCTATATGGACAAGTTTACTTTTCCAGAAAGTAGCTTCAATTATAGGGTAACATCCGCAAAGCCCTACTTCACTTTAAAATTTTATACCATTCATACTAAGCAATATGGTATTCACAACACGATTATATCAGAATATCCTTTTTTGTACGTGTATCACATAAGTTTATATTCCAGCTAGCCTTTGTCCATGACATCTTCTCGTAAAGTTTCTGCCGTGGTTTACGTCTACGTGCGAAAAAAATTTAAACCAATCCTTTAACAATGATTGAGTCATAGAAGTGGAATTTTACGGAGCCATAGCATATAACAATTATTTTTGAAAAAAAATAGCAATTCATAAGAAACAATCATAATAAATTTAATAAATCAATGAGCACTTTTTCCTGGGTGACAAAAAGACAAAGATATAACTTTACTGACAATAGATTTACACACATCATCCATCATAGTCTTATGAACAAAAAACCGTCCATAATGCCTAAGCAAAGGTAAAAAAAGTCATGAGAAAATTTACAACTAGTTGTTAGTACAACACGATACTAAAAATCCTCCAAATTTACATGGAAAAATACATTTAATTTTTTTTCAATCACAATGTTTTTTTTTGAAGTTTCATTATAATTGGTGTTATTTTTCTTCACGGTTACAATAGAGAGAACACGTAACTTAGACAAGCGTTAAATGTTATTAAATTTTCTACTCACGAGAACGCTAATTCTAAGGTTTTGTATTAATCAATAAACATTAAAATACAGATGGCAATTATGTTAGTTTTATTAATATATCAAATATATGTTAAAAATAAATCTTGCGACGAATAATTTAATTGATATTAGTATTTCTGAACTATAAAGTTAGACATACCTTTTCGATCAACGTTTCTAAATATAACTGCAGTGCTATTCTGTAAAATTTTACAGAATATCACTGCTGGAAATATTTAATTAGTATTAATGTTGCCACACTTGATTATTTTGCTTAAGAATATAATACATAATAATTTTATATATTACACAAAAAGAGATATTTATATCGTAATCAAATCGTCGATATTTGTGTGCATATAAAACAAAAAATAATTGATGTGCTATTATCATATTATATTAAAAGCTAACGTTACCGAATGACAAATAGTGAATTTTAACTCTAATAAAACAATTGAGGTTATTCTGACTTCTTTATTATCGTAATATTTCACACAATGCGTCTCGTGAGAATAAAATCTCAACTGCTAACAATACTTAATGAGTAACTTCAGGCCAATTTTACATGTTTTAGTTTTAATTTTGTTACTCTTTTATTATATTAGCTACGAAACATTAAAAATTAAATTGAGAGATTGAGAGCAAGTTAATTATCAAGAAAAGAAACAATCAGGAGTTTCCCGTTCTTATGGGGCTAGATCTTAGACTTTAGCATTAATTCTCGAATAATCTGTGTCTTTGATTGCTTATTAAATAAGTACCTTGTTGTAATAATTGTGTTTTATTGAATAGAAATGTCCGTATGTCAGATCTAGGAGTAGGTAGGTGAATTTATAAATTCCTCGATCCAAATTAAAAGACAAACAAACAAAACTTAATCAACATATATTAATGTTTTTTAGATCTGATTAAATTTTACTTAGAAAGTTTAATACTTTCTACATTTTTGTGGATAGGCGTGAATATTATAATTTGGTAGTGTCTATACCAATTACAAAAATTAATATATCCAAGTAATCTTAATCTCTTTGCACTAATTGAAATTGATATTAATTAAGACGCTGTGCATTGTCTTGCTCGAG